AAAATCTGCAAGAGAGAAATCCTGTTCCATCCCATTTGTGACTTACAAATTTTCCCTCTCTTCTCATGATGAGGTTCATTTTGTCTACCCAAGCAGGACACTAGAGGACTTCAGTCTCCAAACACGTTATGATGGGTTTGTAAAGCCAACTCAAGCACTCATGGACATCTTCAGCAACATTCCATGGACAAGAGCTCAATACACAGGAAACAGGGTGTATTTATAATCAAGTAACAAAGAAATACAAGGTTATTAAGGTGATTGGTTACAAATTATAAAAACATAACATTTTAAAATTGACCTGAGTTGCTCAGCTATGCCTGTTAAAGGTACCTGCTAAACATCAAACCATACCTTCAGCTAGCTCTAGCTACTCTGACCAACTGCCTCACGAAGCCTAACCACAAATACAATATAAAAACTATTCTTATGTACCTTTTTGCTTCTAGTGCTTGCTAAATATTTGCTGCTACATGTGAAAACATGTATTAATATTCAAATGGCTTAAATTTTTCCACACATTTAATACTCTTACAGAATCCATACTTACATAATTTTTTACCACACAGTCCAGTGATAGGGCCTCCAATGTTGTTGAACTGCACTTCTATCAAGTCTTATCACTGACTGATATGAGTGAGGGTTAATAACAGATGCAGACCATATGTTGCTGATTTACAAGAAACACCAGTAAGAAATCCAGTACAATCCATTCTAAAATATGTCACTAAATAAAAGAACATAAAATAAATTCCTAGTATCTGAAAGTTTGGAAAGGTCATTAACTCCTTTGATATATTTTCCAGCAATTTCTCAAGGTTGAGATGCTAAGAAAACTACGTTGTCATAACCATTGTTTCTGGAGTTGTTTCATCTATACTTAAAAATTATTCACCTTATAGCTTGGAATTTGGACAGGTGCAGTTGAACACATTGGGAAGGCATAAGGAAGTAGAAAATTCCTCTACTGTAATGTGGTTAGAGTACAACGTCCAAAGATGGATAATTCAGCCCTAAAACTCACTGTAATCAACCTCAAATTTACTATTTCAAAAATTCATTGCAAAGGCATACAAAAAGATATATTCACGTAAACTATCCTATCATCATGACCAATCTTCCACGTCACAATCCTACAATATTTTTCAGGTGTACTCCAATGTGTCAAATTCTACTCTGGCTGATGCCACTATGGGGAAAAGTAGTCATGGGAATCAGTTCCCTTTATGATGAAATTATAACCTTTTTTAAAAAATAGCAATTGTTTGACTTTCTGGAAACTCTTGGATTTCCTATTTTACAAAATTTGTTCTGGAAATGTGCTACAAGAAACAAGAAACTGGAATAACTTCAAATTCAGTATGGCTCGAAATAGCTATATGCCTGATCCTACCTTGTTTGATAATTTGACTTAAGAAAATTATTTGCAGTATATACAATATATATCAGGGGTCCTCAAACTTTTTAAACAGGGGACCAGTTCACGGTCCCTCAGAATGTTGGGGGGCTGGACTATAGTTTGAAAAAAACATGAGGAGAGGAGGAGAGCCACCGGTCCCGGCATACCTGTCATGTAGAATAGTCCGGCTCTGCGATCTCCCTCCTCGTGCATTGCCTGCAGCTCCCGACACAGCCCCGACACTTCCGCTTCTGACAGACAGCAGTGGCGGCCAATCAGGCAGGTGGGCTGGATAAATGACCCTGGTGGGCCGTATCCAGCCCGCGGGGCATACTTTGAGAACCCCTGATATATATAATCAATGAACAGAGAGAAGGAACTTTGGTATTTTCCAACTATCCTCACGTGTTATAAAGAGTTAATTTTCTCAAAGGATGACAAAAATTATTAAAATAGCCAAAATATTTAAAGATTCAATCTATTTTCTCTATTTAGAATGTCCCACTGAACTCAATGGTACTTCTTTTTGAGTGGGTATTTAGAAGAGGTTACGGTTTAAATACAAGCAAGCTAGATTTAAAGGCACAAAGAATTCAAGAATGTCTCCATTTTTAACTGAGTATTTTTCTGTCTTTCAACATTTGAAGCATATTATTTTCAATATCACATCATAAACAGAAGATAAAAGGGTTTTCAGTTACATCCTTTCCTTTTTCTTTTTTCAGGGAGAAGGGCTGAGTACACATATTTATTTAGGGATCAGCAACTGGAACTCAAGATCAAATTTGGCTGAGAAATATTAAGTGACTCTCCTAATTAAAAAGGTAAAAACAGAAGTGTGATCCTGACCTTGCAAGCAGTATGATTTAAGGAACATAGAGAAAGTGGATTGGCCTATCAGATCACCAACCTTCCAACTTTCAGCGCTTGGTAAGTCACTGTTGTGGTATGTTATTTCTATGTATTTCCATACATATCTATATAAGTTTCTATTAAATTGATTTCCTCAATTAAAGAAGCACTGTACAAAGTATTAACATAACCTGACGTCAACAACATGATTTCAGGGATACTTTTGCGATTAGTCATATTTCAAACAGAATTGTCATCCAAGAGGAAATACTGACAAATGTATATATTTGCCCAGAGACATATGACTGTGGCAGTACAGAATGGTAGGTAAGTAAGTAAATAACCTGTTCTTTGAGTCAATTTTAGAGACGTATCTATTACTAGTCTTGGGGGTTCCCATAACAAACCCAAAGAGCATATTGTATCAATGAAAGTAACTTCCTGACTCTGGTAGATCCCAGCATTGTCCTACTAATTTAATGATACAGTTTAAGTTTATGAATGGATCATCATGTACCTAGTTACCCCAGAATAAAAACAGCCAAACATTCATAAAGGGTACAGCAAACTGAAAGCTGCAGTGTCTGTCTAAATACACACATCAAACAGATGCTCATGAATGGTCTTGTCCAGCAAGTGGAAACACACAGAAATACTGTCTGCTTCTACATATGAACCTACCTGAGCTTTGAATGTAAAGATTTTTCCATAAGTGCTGTGTCTTTATTCTTCACTTACTATGAGTTCTATAGTTTAATATTTCATCATGTCAATAGGAAAGTTTCAGAAGAGAGGATTCTCAAGCCAGCAGAAAAAAGATACACAGCATCAGTATCCTCCTTTTTTGCAGGCAACCACTATCTTCTAAATTATTTTGAACTCTTCTTTTGTGCTGCCCCAGAAAAAGAGTTCCTCAGGACCAGAAAAGAGGACTACATACAGTATAGCTACCATAGCAACTCTATAGTGGTATAGGGATATATATGCTAATCATAATCTACATTTTTTAAAAAAGCATGTCAATTCATGAGCAAAAATGAGCCAATCTTACTAGACAGTGTTAGTGTTCTGAAATGTCATTTTCTGAAAAATTAATGGAATGTTGCCAGATTCTTTTTACTGAAATCATTCTTAAAAGATACAAAGTTATTTGTAATTTGTCATCTTCAACAATTATACATCAGCCACTGGTACAGTAATTGCAGCACAGGTAGTCCTTGTTCAGCAACCACAATTGGGACTGGCAACTCGATTGTTAAGCAAAGTGGTCACTAAGTGAAACCAAGATTGCGCTTATAATCTTACTTCAGAGCTTTCTATTGCTTTACAGACCTGCGAAAGTCGTAAGTAAAGTTGCTTTTTCATCACCGTAGTAACTGCAGTCACTAAATGAGGCAGTTGCTAAATGAGGACTACCTGTATAATACCTTGCTTTCAGTAAAAGGAAAGCTTTTTTAAGCCTGCACTTTTATACTCGCAAATTTACTTTTGAGTAGACACACAAGGGACTGTGTTGCAAACGTTCTTTCAAAGTTATCTGAGCTACTATCCTGTGCATATTTACTGGGAGTAAGTTCTAAGGAGCTGATTAAAACTTGTTCCAGATCAATTTTTCTCGTGGACATAGAAAAGAAACAACAAAAACCTCCATCCTTGCAAAGTGCAGCTAAGTTGAATAGTGGTTTCTATCTGAGAAGCAAGGAATTACAAAAGCACATGATTTGTAAGGTAGGATTTATCTACATTCACAATTACATCAAGCTCGATTCTTATGAAAAAGGAAATCAGAAATCCATAAAAGCAACATTTTTTGTAACTGACATTCTTTGGCTATTTGACAAAGAAATCATACAGCTGTACTTTTTCTAAAAGTCCCATTTTGAACTTCAACAACAAAAAAATCCTTTTATTGTACAAGTGCGTGAAACCTCAGTGTTATTTGTTTAAATCAATTTATATGGCCACTCATGTCACAAATGCGACTCTGAACAGCTAAGAAAATTTTAAAACACCAGCCAAACAAGACAAAAACAATAACCCAGAACAGAACAGAACACAGTATAGCAAGAGAAGGCCAGCAATCAACCCTGACCCCCTTTGCTTGGGAAAAAGCAGGTTTTAAGCACTTTCAGAAAGGCCAACAGTGTTTGAGGGCTTAACATGTCCCAGCAGCTTAAGAGCACTACTTGTAGCCTCGGTAAGATGCCATTATCCAGAGGTCACCTATTTCGGAAAAGAGAATTCATAAGCTACTTAAAACTGATCCTTCTTTAACTGATCCTCCTCCCACTCCCCAATAGGATGAGTTTTGGGACAGAGCACCGAAGCAGCCTGTTTCTGCCTCACTGCAGATTCACAGGGAGCCTAAACTTCGACCTGAACTCCCAGGGCAAGTGAGGCCAGCTGGGCACGCGGAGGTTCGGCACCACTGATCTTAAGACACATTAGTTGTGCTAGCACAGCATGCAAGCTTAAAACGTGTGGCTTAGGTTATAGTGCAAATCCAGCCAGCGTGGTTAGTCTGTGGTTTGGTGTCTTAACACAAACCTCAAGCGATTGAGTTAGTTCTGTAAACCAAGGCTGACTAACCCACGAACACCACCGCTGAAGTGCACTTTCTTCCTTATCGTACTTGACCCGAAAACGGGTTCAGGGGCCTGCCCCGTGTGCCCAGACCTTCCTGCCAAGCCGCGGGCAGATGCCCCCTCTCTGCACTTTTCCTGCGCCTCCTCTCCACCATGCGAGGGTGCGCGCGCAGGTCGGAGTTGCCGAGTCGGGAGGGAGGGAAGAGTAACTTAGGAGGAGTCCCCGGGGAGTGAGGGGCTACTTGTCTCGGCGGTTCGTTTTCCTACCTCTTGCGGCTGCGCCGGCCTTGTCCTTAAGGCGGCGCAATTTGGAGCTCCCCTCGCGGAGGTAGGCTCCATACCGTTTTAAAAGCAGGTAGGGGACGGGAAGGGCTGGTGCGGGCGATGGGAAAGACGCTGCTCTGGGCGGCTCTGCGCCTCCTCATCTTTCTCCAGCGCCCTCTGGGAGCGGAGAGAGCGACCCTCGAGGGGTCAAGCTGCTGCTGAACTTGGAAGCCGGGTGGTCCTCTCCCGCCGTTCCCCCCGAGGTGGAAGCGTCGCTCGCTGGCTCGCCGCTCTGCCCCTTTCTTGCCTCCTGAACCTACTTCGAGCCGAGCCGCTCTTGGAGCCGGGCCAAACGGCGCCGTCGAAAGCAGCAACCTCACTGACCCAGCAGTGGGCTTTGGACTCTCCAGCAACAGCCGAGCGGGCGGGGGACCCTTCGATCATTCAGTGCTGGAGGAGTCCCGAGAGCTCCCTTCCTATGGAGGGGGAGGAAGCGCGGCGAGCACAGCAGGAAAAGCAGAGAAGCAGCGTCCACAGGTACGCCGCGTCCTCGCCGAGCGCGCCTTTTCTCCCCGCCCGGTGTGCGCTTTCGGGGAAGGGGCGTGCAGGTCCACTGGTTTTTGCTTGGCGTGCACGGTGTGGCCCGCCAAGTGTAACAGGAAGTGGAGGAAAAAGGGCTCGGTGGGGTCACGGGCGAAGGAAGAAGGCGGCGGTAGGTGGGGAGGGGGCGCAGTCGCTACGTTCGGGATAAACTCTCGAGGCTCGGGCGCCTTTTCTGCAAGGGCTGAACTTCACGTAAGTATTTCCCTTCGTTGAGTGGTGGCGCAGCTGATCTGTCATTCAGGGAGTGCGCTCCTAGCTTTTAATAGGAACAAGTTTATCTGGGAGAGCAAGGTGTATTTGGCTTTTCTATTCGGTAAGCCAAGGGTGTGTGTGTGTGTGTTTGTTTGTTCGACCAAGCCCTGCTCCTGAAGGATTTTATTTCTAGTGGCTGTATTCCCCGAACACACTCAACCGCAAATTGGCAACCATGTTTTAATCTAGCCTTTTGACTGAACAGTTCATACAATAGTTAGTGTATTGCACGAATGCAGGTTTCCGCAGGATAAAACTTTATTAATCCCTGGAGCAATCTAATAATGGAGTAAGAAATGTCAATTTAACTTACCTTCCATAGGAGAGGTAAATTCATTATTTACACACACACACACAGAGGATTTCTAAAGCAAGATTTCCAAAGCAAGATTTCCTTATTTTGGAAATATAGTTTACAGTGTGTTAGGCTCCAGGAGACTCTCCTCCTTTTGTTGGGGTTAGTATGAAGAGCTTTTAAAAAGCAGGATGACATATTTAGGTATCTTAACATCTCTTCTTAATCTACTGTATGCAGTTGTACTGAATGAATGTTTTATATATTTTGAGGTTTTATTGAAGAAAAGCTGTAGGCACAGACAGGAATACTGTATATTAAACAGAGTATGCAGAAGGTGATAGTTACTGAAGAATACGATGAGGCTAAACACTGTAAATTACAGTACTTAGATTCTCTGAAGGCGGAAAGACTTGCTTTCTGAATGAAACTTCCACAGGGGGAGAGATGAGACATCAGGAATGATTAATATTTCCTTCTTCAGAACAAAATAATGTCCACTGTCCAACACTTATTTTTTCCTCTGTCGCGTATCATAATGGGGAAGCGGCCTGATTTCAGACAAATATAAAAGGGAGTTATAGTTCTTTGTTCTCCCATTTGGGGGAAACACTTCAGGTTGCTAATAGCTGTTGGCAAGTCATTCCTTGCCAGCAAGCCTGAAAGGCAAAATGTGGATAGTTGAAGCTTTCACTGCAAATCATTGTTTGTTTTACGAGAGAAATATATATTTTTAAAAAAAATCTAATTAACAGTCCAGTCCGTGAAAATATTTACTATTCTGTCACATATATAAAAATCGAGTATTCTCTTAACTTGTAGAATGATGATTCTAGAGGGAATGTACTATGCAAAGCAAGCGGCTTAAAACAACTAGGGAAGACATGATCTTGTTCTAAACGGACCTTCTTAAACTTTCTTTGTATTCTTCTTGGATAAATCTTCTGCATGATATGTTTCCTAAATACTAAAGTCAGGAAATGCTGAAGGTAGATTTACCTGTTCCAGATGTTATGAAATATTTTTCCTTAGAAATGTATGTTACAATTTTTCATTTCCTGGTTGGACAGGTATGTATTCAAGTAGCTAAAAACAAAGGTTAGAAGGAACAGAAAGTACTTTTGATATGCTTTTTGCATGGTCAGAGAAGCAACAGTGCAAACAAATTGTTTACATTATATAGTAATGCAACTGTATAACTAGTTTGAGGTCTTACCTGATAGACCATTTCAGCAATCACACATTTTTACCTTTAAAAAATCATTATTGTACTACTTCTACTAGTAATTCTCCTTGAAAAGTTTATGTAACTATCCTTTGTTCCAAATCCTAGTGTAAGGGGGAAAATTAATCCAGGATCAAAATGGGAAAGAATTACTACTTGCCAAACAGTAAAAGAGGCTCTTAATGTCCTTGCTGCATAATGATACATCAAACATTTTTTAAATAATATCCAAACATCTCAGTAAATCTTTATGGTAAGGTGGGTTAGTTTTATTACCACTGTAGTTCAGTAGATAGGCTGAGAGAATAGTGAGTTTATAATGCTGTGTAATATAAAATTAGTTTGAAATTTGATTTGAATTTGGAATGTCTTAGTTAAATATCTTTTATGGCATGGCTAATTTCTTCCCCTATTCTGTCTTCATGCTGCTACTTTCAGAAATGCATTTACAGTTTACACAATGTGGAAACTATAACATTAGCTTTAATTTAGAATTTATTTCAATTGCATGAAATGCACAAAGGAATATTTAGGAACCTAGGTAAGTTTTTATACTACAGGTAGTCCTCGCTTAATGCTAATTGGGACCAGAAACTCTGTCATTAAGCAACACAGTTGTAAGTTGAAAAAACATGTGACCATATCACTTAGTAATGACAGTTCCAGCAGTCCCGGTTGCTTCATTAAAGTGAGGACCATGCTTGTCATTAAGTGAGGACCTCACTTGATCGTGATTTCTGATTTCCTGCCAGCTTCCCTGTTGACTTTGCTTGTGGGAAGCCGGCAGGAAAGGACTCAAATAATTATCCTATGACCACGGGGCTGCTATGATGGCCGTAAGTACAAGGTCCGGTTGTAATTACCACTCATTCAGCACCATTGTAAAACAGTCACTGAACAAGTGGTCATTAAATGAGGATCCCCTGTAATTCTTTGAAAGAAGATAATGCATTGAATTATATCTCTTGGAGGAATATCAGTGTGAATATAACCCTTGCAGCTGGGTTGACAATGCAGCATTCATGGGTGCCAAATTGCCCTTAAGATTCCCAGATGGTATGCATAGAACCTCAACATTCAAAAATTCTTAAAAATTGAAATGGTCAAAATATTATAAAATACTCATTTTCTTGTGTGAAACCTCGCATACTGTTGACATTCTAAGACCATGTGAGATCTCAGAAATTTCAGTCATTTTTTAATGACTTTTTTACACTTTTGCATAAAGTCGGTCTTAAGTTTAAGATAGAGCAGACTGCAAAACAGACACTGTGTAGAGCTAAAACTACTTTTATTAGAATGGCTATAGTAACAGAATCTAGCGGATTTGAATGTGCTTCCTTCCTCCATCTTTTATCTTCTTGTGAATTAAGCGGGGGGGTGCTGTCTGAGGTGTTCACATAAACCACTTTCCTGGCCTGGGCTCAAGCCTCATTTATCTGATCATTGTCTTAGTAGCGGATCTTCCATTTGTCTTCAGGGCCATTTTCTGTACTCACTACAGTTGGGTAGAGGATTACCAGGGAATAACAGGATTGTAGAATTTACTAGAAAGTAAAAAACTAAAAAAAAGGCACTGGCAAACCGCTTCCGTACTGTTTCCTAGAAATGTGCATGGTTGTGTCTGTGTAATCACTAGGAATTATGAGCAACTTTATTTATATTTATTTGTAGCTTACATTTATAGACTTCCCAAATATAAATGGGCACCATACAATTGAAAAACATATCTAATACAGTATAAAGGCAATAGAAGCCAATAAACGTTAGCTTTTTGATATCATCCAGACCAATAAACTAGTTAATGTCAGCTTAGGTTGACTTTAAAATGAACCCTATTTGCTTCATTGTTTCTGAAACCAGCTTGTTTAAAATAACGATAGTTATTGTTAATAGTTCCTAGTTCAAATGACACAAAAATGGAAGATTTGACTTTTTTATTCATATCTTCTATTTACTAAGTAGAAAACAAGGATTAAAGCCTCGAAGAAGTCTTTGTGATAGGAAAAAGAAAGACAACATCTGAATGAATTAAAGATCAAGATTGTTAGAAGTAAAAGAAAGGAATATAAAGTTGGTTTGTTTGATCAAGGTTAAAACAAGACATTTTTATAAAGCTCTAGTAACCCTTTACAATGGTTTTGCATATACAGTAGATGGGATGGGCTATGGGAAGAAGAAATATTTGTTTGTAACTTATAGGGAGTGATGAGCTATCAAATTTGTTTTTACTTGTGATGAAGACTGGAAGTCACTTCTTTACATTTTTCTTTTTCTTTATTCTACTTTCCTTTTTTTTCTATTTTCCGTTTTCTTTGCACTTTTTATTCTTTTTCTTTTTCTGAGTTTAATTTGTATTTGCTTTTACTATTTTTAAAATCTTTAAGAAAA